GGCATGCTTCAGAGACTGTGCCTGGACTCAAGGGTCCATAGAGAGCTGTGCTTCAGAACCACTTGGGAGAGCTTGTTAAAATTCATGTTCCTGGACTCCAGCTGCCAGACCTACTGACTCAGAGGCCCAGGCAGCTGCATTATAATAAGTACCCTGAAGTCATTTTGAGACACATTAAAAATTGAGAATCAATGATGTGGATAAAAAGTGAGAAATAAGGTTGAAAGAGTACATAGGATTAGGCTGACTCAAGGAAGGCCTTGAATGTCAGGCTAAGGAAGTTAAAGATTTTCCCACAGGCAATCCACTATCACTCTCAAGCATACAGAGCAGAAGTGTCAATGAATAATGGATATTTTTGAATATTAATCTGGCAGGGGTGTATATTACAGGCAGAAAAAGAGAGAGACTGGTAGAGGACAGACATTCAATAGTTGCTGAGGGCAGAAGTCAGAGGTGGTCTGGGCTTCTAGTCTGGGCGACTAGGAGGCTTGTGGTAACAGAAAGGTCAGAAAAGCCAGCCATTGTTGGAAGTAAATGAGGTCAGCTTGTAAATTCGGAGTGTAATGTTAATGTTAAGTCTAAGATGATGGCAGACCACTTAAGGCAGGTGAGTCATTCAGCAAGTAACTGTGGATAGATGGCCAAACCTCAGAGACAAGGTGAAAATCTGTGCTACAGAAGAAGTGGGAACAGCCAGGAAAGATGCGCAAGTGGAAAGCCATGATGCAGCTGTGTGTCCACTCCAATAAAGAAATGGGGTTAATCCCAGCACTTGGGAGGCAGAATGTAGGCGGATCTCTGTGAGTTCGAGGCCAGCCTGGTCTACAGAGTGAGTTCCAGGACAAGCTCCAAAGCTACACAGAGAAACCCTGTCTCGAAAAAACAAAAACAACAACAAAAAAAACCCCAAAACCACTGCCCCAAAGAAAGTAAGAAAAGAAATGGAGGGAACAAGGGGAGCTAGAGGACCCTTAGATCTGAGGAGAGGAGGAGGGACTAGCAAGAAAGACGAATAAGGAAGGGTCACGTGAGGAGAAGGAGGTCCAGATAGTGCAACCAGGCAGATAGCTCTTTCAGCAGCTTGGGGTGACTGGTCTGATTACTGCCATGGCGACACTGATGCTCAGGGAGAGGTCACTGCAGTTGTACTACACACACCTGCTTCTTCTCAGGTTCATTAACACAAATGTAACACCAGACTTATCTATCTACCCATCTGTCTGTCCATCCGTCATCCACCCATCCATCTATCTGTGCAGCTGTCCACCTTTTTTCTTTCTTCATCCTGTTGCTGTGTGTCATACGTGCACTCCAATTTTCAGACTCGCTTTCTGACTGGACGGACGGACGACGGCACTATTGTGAACTAGGCTATTAATGTTTCGCTCTAGGGTTGGTGTTCCTGGTCTGAAAAGAGGAAAGGATGGCCAGTTTCTCTTCCATGTGCTCCCAACCCTGCCCCTTAGTCTTCGGATTTCTCTGCAGAAGGCAAGGTTCAGCTCATTTTGAGAATGCTTCATGTTGGCTGCAGGAAACACAAGAGAATGTTTATCTTTTCGAATTTATGGCGAGGAGGCAAACAGAAGTCCTTGAAAGAGAAGGCAGATCAGAGTCTTCTGCTGCGAATGCTAATGGCTTCAAGGCTGGCTCACAAGCTGAAGCTGACTTGGGTGTGGCTAGCTCATGGTCTTTGCTCAGCATCCATAGTTACCATCCCAGCCCCTGGAGAAGTGACTGCTAGGTTCCATGGGAAGGTTTGGACCCCTACAATCCACGCATGTCTTACTGGGCTACCTGCTTACAAATTCTATCCAAGTATGTGGATGGAGGAAGGGAGAGTGGAACAGATGAAGGAAGGGAGATAGAAAATTGTGTGTAATTTGTATATGTGCAGGTGTGTGTGTGTGTGTGTGTGTGTGTGTGTGTGTGTGTGTGTATGTATGTGTGTGTGTGTGTGTGTGTGTGTGTGTGTGTGTGTGTGTGTGTTTTCATGGTTTCAATTACTTTGGAGACTCAAAAAAGATCATAGATCCTCTCCTTTGCACCTGTGCTGCCCCTTCAGGGTTCTTCCCAGGGTAATCCTAGAGCCCTGTCATTTATGTGGGGAATGGGTGGGTGGGTAGGGTCTTGTCCTGCATCCATACTTCTTCCAAGAACTGTCCTGGGATTATTGTAATGCTGATCCAATGCTGTCCTTTACCCATTTCTCCCCAGGCCTGTGGCTGCCTCTCTCCAACTCCTTCCCCTGCCCCACATTCTCAACTCCACTACCTTCCCCAGCCTATGGATACTATCTGCAACCCCAGAGGTTTCTTGTTGCACTTTGCCAGTCTACTACTTGTGTTTTCAAAGGATGGTGGTGGTAGCGAAATCCCCCTGCCAGGCCACAGAGCTCACTTCTCAAGCCAGGTGGACTGCATCGCTTCCCAGAGGGAGAGTCCCCTACCTCATTCAAAATGGAGTTTGCAGCCTGGTAGGAGTTTCCAGACCTTTCCCTCAGGCTAGCAGAAGCTCCACTGCACTGTCTGAAGTCACAGTACCAAGACATCATTAGCTTGTGCTTATGGGGGCATTTGCTGGCTCCAGGCCCATATATTGGCCATTCTGCAGGCTAGTGCAGATCTGCAATATGCCCAGAGCCAGGAGCCTAAAGCACCCAACCCTGTTTTCGTCAGCCTTCTCTCTCTATGGTGGCCTTCAGTCCACACTTGCAAGGCAATTGTGGTGGTGGGTGTGATATAGCTACATACAACAGGGTTCTCTCCTGAGATCATATGCCCCTCCCTCCTCGGGATCCTGCAGTGGTTCCCAACGGCCTCTCAAATAAATTGAAATCTTTTCTCTGTGGGCCTTAAAGCCCTCCATAATTGTATCCCACCCACCCCCAACACACACACCACACATATCCTGCACAATTAGGCAGCAGCAGACAAACAACACTGTCCACAAATGCTCCTGGCCTGGAGCCTGCCACAGGTGCTTGTAAAACCTCATCCGAAGAGTCACTCCTTTTCCTTCTTTCAAAATGGTAAATGTTACCTGCGAGGTATATGCAATAAAGTCCTATCAGCTATTAACAGCTTGTCCTGGCACGGATTCTGTCATCAGATTTGACAGAGAAAGGAGCAAAGCCCCGCCTTAATAGTCTAAGGGGGCGGGGGAAGGGACTCAGAAGAGCTCAGAGCAGTCCGGGGAGGGGCGGGAGGAGGGAAGGGGTTCTGACGTCGAAGCTATCTCTGTCACGATTTTACCCAGGGCTACAGTCTCCGTGTCTCTACTTAAATCAGTCAGACACACTAGTCCTTGCTCCCCCAACCTGGCTTCCCTCTCCACACACACATGACGTCTTATTTCACCTTAAGGCTACAATCCTCAGGCCAAGCTACTAACTGGCTCCCTCAAATGAGGGGGGTAAAAAGACATGAAATTGAGTAGAGGCAGCATGTTTGCTTGGGCATGGCCAAGTGTTGTTGAGTTCCTCCTGCAGAAGAGCTGAGAGCCCTTTGCTTAATGGAAACAGTAAAGACTTCCCAGGAAAGCTCTCTGTGCTCCCAGAAAGCTGGGAACTGAGTTCCCCCAGTTTCTCCCGCAGTGAGCTTGACCCGCAGGGCAACGAAGGAGGGTCTGGTTCTCCCAGCAGCAGGCTTCTGGGCTGAACTGACACACTATGAGGGACCCCTTAGGCAAAAGTGTGCATACTGCTTAACCCATCTCCTGCTGGGTATACTCACTTGGTGCTTTCCTCTGAGTCAGCAGAGTCCCCCACCCTCCACTCTTGAAAAGGGCGCCCCCAAGGGAACCTTGCTCTTACAGCAGTTTCTTCCTTAGGCAGCAGGCCAGAGACAGCCCCGCCCTCCACAAGAGCTGCAGGATGATGAGGACCCCCCCCCCCCCCGCCCGCCCGCCCAGCTCAGGGCTCTGCAGCTGGGCCAAGATGCCAAAGGGAGGGGCAAGTCTGGCCGAATTCATCCTCTACTGTGACCAAAAGCTTGTTAGTGGCAGCTGTGGGGAGGGGGTTACCACCTGCTTCTGGGGGAAAGTGTCAAACATTTCCCTGTGCGGTTTCAATGTGTGTGCGTCCAGTTGTTCAGGTGTGGAGGGGCACGAATATAAGACTTGGGCGTGCTTTTTTCCAGAATGGAGTTCTTAAGGGCCCTGGTAGAAGTGTCCACAAAAGATTAAGGGGTGGGATAGTATGTTCTCTCTCTCTCTCTCTCTCTCTCTCTCTCTCTCTCTCTCTCTCTCTCTCTCTCTCTGTGTGTGTGTGTGTCCGTCCGTCTCTGAATCCCCCTCCCCGTGTATGTGTGTCTGTGTGTGTGTGTGTCTCTGTGTGTGTGTGTGTGTGTGTGTCTGTGTGTGTTGGTGGGAAGCAGCAGGTACTGGATCTGCAGTAATGTGCAGTTGCCATGTAGTTTCTTAGGGACACTCTAAGAAAACACACACACACACACATACACACACAGACACACACACACACACACACACACACATCAAGCTTCAAAGCACAAGGCTGGGAAGAAGTGTGTGTGTACATATTTCAGCAGAACTGGAGGGGTGCATGTAGTTGTATGTGTTTGGGTGACTGCTTTGTTATCATCTGGGTGGAAGGGTGCAAGTGCAGAGGGGTGTGTGTGTGTGTGTGTGTGTGTGTGTGTGTGTGTGTGTATGTGTATGTCTGTCTGTGTCTGTGTGTGTGTGCGCGCGCGCGCGCGCACGCCAGCGCGCCTTGTATGTTTCGTCTTTGGATGGGGGTGACTGTGGTTGAGCGCAGCGAATGTGGTGCGGCTGTGTGTGCGTGTGAGTGTGCGTCTGTGTCCGCTTGTGAACATGGCACCAGGAACCACGCACATGCTTCAGACAGCTGTTTCTGGCATCCCCGGGGCTAGGGCTTCGCCGGACACCCCGGCTAAGTGGCCACCTTCCAGCAACCAGGCCCCGCATCTCACCAGCTCTCCCAAAGGCGCCCACAGCCCCAGCGCGCACACAAAGGCTCCATAATGAACGCGCTGCATTCCCCTGCGCTGGGCTCTTCACCCCGCACCCGGGGCGGTCAAGACGAGCCCGCCAAGCCGGAGACTCACCGAACACCGGGTGCCCAGCCCGCTGCTCCCCTTGGCCGCGCAAACTCCAGGCGGCCCGACGCTCGGCTCCCCCAACCCTGCCCCTGTCTCCCGGGGGCGCCCAAGCGCCCGTCGCCCCCCGAGCCGACCCGGGGCGACCCGGCACAGCCACGACCCACCCCTGGCCGGGCTGAGGCTGCGGGCGCGCCCCCCTAGAAGCAGCGCGCTTCTTACCTTCCTCCTCCTCCTTCTCCTCCTCCACCTCGGCGGCGCGGCAGCGGCGGCGCAGAGGCGGCGGCGACGGCGGCGGGACTAGGGCGCCGGTGCCCCGGAGCCCGGCACGGGCGTGGGGCTCAGTGGCGCGGGGCGGCGGGGCGGCCGGAGGTTGGCGGGGCGGCAGCAGCTGGCCCGGGACGCGCGGAGCTGGCGCGCAGGCAGCGGGCTGCGGGCAGACTGGCAGCGGCGCGCGCGGGCTCCTCGGGCGGGCTCCATGGCTGCGCCGCGGGCGGCACCATCTCCGTGGCTCGCTCGTCGCTCTCTCGCTCCAGGAGTGCGGCAGGCTGCGAGGTGACGGATAGCGCCGAGGCGACCGGACGGCCGAGGAGGGGAGGGGAGGGGAGAAGGGGCGGGGGAGGGGGGAGGAGGGAGGAAAGAGGGGAGTGCAGAACTCGGGGTGGGGGGGGGGGCCCTCTCCGGCGCCTCTCGACCCTCGAGTGCTGGCGTCGGTTTCCCCGAAAGGGAAAGCGGCTTAAAGGCGCAGCAACTGGCTCGGGTCACAACTAAAAATAAACACAAAATTGACAATTGGAGAAAGAATTTCCCAAGACACGACCCAGCAACCCAGCCACCCAGCTAGGCGCTGCCTCACTTCTTGAACACAACCGTTCAGGCTGGGCTTTGCCGGGAACTGCTGGCAGTGGAGAGGGCAAGCCAATTTCTAAAGTGAACCCGGGAAAGGGGGTGGGGGGGAGGAGAGAGGAAACTGCAGAGAAGGGGCAGCGGCAGTGGTAGGTTCGGGGCCTCCATTCTTTGCCCCCTGACCTTGCTTCTCTCCCCTTGTTTGCTTTTCTTCTGCTAGGGATGCCCTCCCTGCAGCTCCCCTCCTGGTCACCACCGCCAACATCCTCACGCACCTTGAGTTTCAGGCTCAGGTTCCTGCTCCCACCGCCTCGCCCCAGCACTGGAGCATTAGCAGCTTGGAACCCTGGTCCAGCCAGGGAGCCCACCTCTGTGAGAGAGCAGTCTGCCAGCTGGCAGAGGTCTGCTTGGTTTGGGTGAGAAGGGAAGGAGGTTGAGGTGTGTGTGCGTGCGTGTGTGCGTGTGTGTATGTGTGTGTGCCCCCCCCCCGCGGGCCTGTGTGTGTGTGTTCACCAGCAGATGGAGGGAGGGTCTGGACGGACGGACACACACACACACACACACACACACACACACACACACACACACACACTATATGCACACACTCTGAAGGAGAGCAGCGAGGCAGGCACAGCACAGTGCCTGATGAATGATCTCAGGGCATTTTTTAAGAGACATGCTGTGAATACTAAATGTACAGCAATGGAGATTCTAAAGAGAGCTCTTGATATCCCAGTGGGCACCAGCCCCTTTAGAGGAGTTTTAAGGACCAAGAAAAAAAGCTACTCTCCCTTTTTCTTAAAAGGCAGTAGCAGTGGGGACCCACAGAAACCGAGAAGCTGGACAGTGTCTGAGACAGTGGGTGAAATTGATGCCAGAGAAGACAGATGCAATGGAGTTTAAGACCCTCTGGTGATGCCAAAGCCACCATGTAAATTTGTAAATTTCCAAGCATCGGAGGCACCTGGGAGAGACAGTTAACATTGACCCTTCTGGGCCTCAGGAGTTCTAAGGTGAAAAATGAATTCTCCATTCCCGTGTTCCTAGATTCTGGAAGGGAGGCTATTTGATAAACCAGGGCCCATTTCAGTTGGAATCTTTTCCTCTCCTCTAGTTTTACTGAAGCACCTGAGAGAAAAGGGTGCGGAGACACAAGCAACTGTTGTTTAAGAGGATATTCTTGTAGCTGGTATGGGATACCCATGGTATAGAGGAGAGTTCTGGGCTTGAGCATGGGGAGCTGTGGCTCCCTGCAGCTGCGATCAGCAGTAGAGTAGCTGACTAGCAGATTTGGCCATCTTTCTACTGAGTACACTTTTTTGCTATCTTCCTGGCAGTTCCTACCTTGAAAGAAAGCATGGAAATTCCCTGCATCTGGAGGCCTGTGTGTGTGTGTGTGTGTGTGTGTGTGTGTGTGTGTGTGTGTGCCTGGGCTGGGAAAACAAGCTGATGGAATTATCAAAGGCAGATGATGAGAGAAAGTGAAAACATTCGGGGAGAAAAGCACATCACATTGCTGGCAGATGCAAGGCAGACTCTCAAACAAGAAGATGCTCTCAGGGACACTACATGCACACACAGGGACACATACAGAGTCACACATGGAGCACAGACATGCTGAGTAGTGCATACTTACACACACACACACATCTAGTTTGAGAAGGATGTAGTTAGAGAAGCAGGAAAGAGCTGGCCTCCTGTCTCCAGGGGCTATGGAAAGAGCAGGACCAGCTTTCCATAATGAACAAATAATACTTGCAGTCAGACAGGGCCTGGCTACTTTCCTTCAGGGTAGTTTTTCAAGTGATGGAATCCCCATATAAGGTCCCCTGATTCTCATCCAGTCCAATCTTTGCTATCAATAACAGATATCCCAAGTTGGCGTTTATCTGTCCTTACAACGAAACTCACTGGTTAGTAGTAACTACATCAAATGCATTTTCTGATTCTGATCAAGCCCTCTTTTGCTGCGTACTTGGCTCACTCAAAGCATATGCTTAAGCTCCAGTCAATCTGTTGTGTGGTAAATAAAAGTCAAGAAGGAGTGGGGAAGAGAGGAGAGAACTGGGGGTGAGACGGTGTCAACAGATAATGCATGTGCAAAGGCTTCTGAGTGACCACTGAGGCACTGACTGGTTAGGATAATGATTAAACATTTAATGTTTGGAATCAGTTTACAGTCCTGTGACCTAAAGTAGGTCTTCTAACTTCTCTGACTAAGCCTTACCTGTGGGATGAAAAGGAACTTGCTCGTGCAGTTGAAGTGTTCAATGATATAACGGATGCTGTACATGGTTATCTCCACCTACACGATTCTCCACCTACTAGTCCAGTGGAGAATCGTGTAGGTGGTGTCTTTGTTTTTGTTGTTTGAGAAGTTGTGTGTATTCCTCTTACCCAATAGAGAGGAGGGGGTGCAAGGGGTGGGGTACAGAGAAGGAAGGGTGAAGGTTCAACACTCTCAACCCTGTGCCCAATGCAGCAAAAATAAACACTAGTATGTCTAACTGGGGACCTTGATTTAGTCACATTATAAAATTTGATGAGGAGGGGGAAATACTTTAGTGTTTTCAGATAACACGACAAGCAGATGACAAAAATGACCCCACTGTAAGTCTATTTCCAATTGAAATCAATACATTTAGATGAAGTTAGTGAGTGACACTATTTTTCAAGAGGGAGATAGAGGCAGCCCAACTTCATTGGCACCTTGGTCTGTAATCAGTATTTAACAAGCAAGGAACCAATTCACCTATAACTGAGAACCCAAGAACAAATGGACAGAGTCTCTTGGCTGCCAGTAATAATAGCATAGTGACTACCAGTTACTGGCTCATTGCTACTAAAATCTGTGTGCTTTGCTAATATTCTTAGGAAAGGGATAGTGACTCTTCATCTCAGGAATATAATTAGCTCCATTCTCCTAATAGAACCCCCATCTCATCCAGCACTTCTATGCATTAATCAATTTCATAATCACTAACACCCTTTGAGTGGGCAGCATCATTATTCCATTAATTTTATGGAAGAATGAGGAGGAGGAAGAGGAAGAGGAAGAAGAAGAAGAAGAAGAAGAAGAAGAAGAAGAAGAAGAAGAAGAAGAAGACAATACTCATGCAGCAATAAATAGTAGAATATGGAGTGTAATCGCTCGATGGCAATAGTAATAATTATTATTATTGCTAGGTTTCATTGAGCACTTACTATGGACACTGTGCTAGCATTTTATGTGCATTATTACATTTAATCCTCACACTAAACCCAGGAAGGCAGACACTTTATTATTAGGCTTATTTTAAAATAAACTGAAGGCTTGGAGATGCTAAGTCATTTCTATAAAGTCACACAACTAGTGGGGTCTAATTCAGAATTTGAACCCATGCCTATACGACTAGAGTGACAATTTCTCTAAAAAGGCTATGATTTCTAGCCTTCAACTATCACACAACACACAACTACACTGCTAGTCTTTCCCACAGAGCCATTACTAAGCTGCTTGCCTCTGTTGGGGCTATCTACCCACCCACTCATCCATTAGCACCCAAGGCAAAATAGATGACTAAGAGCAGAATGTCACCAACGCCCAGCAATTATGAAGTGCATCTGCTGAAGGTACCAGAGAGACCCATTCAGACTGGCCAGGGAGGCCCTGGGACAATAGAAGGAAGAATGATGTAATCCCCTCCCATCATAATTTTTCAGCCCCTAGCTCTTTCTGCCTTGCCTTTCAACAAGATATATGCCTGCCCTCAAGCATTTGGAACTAACTAAGGCCCTGATTTCAGGGGCTGGCAGGTGAAAGAAAGGGTAAAGGAACTTCCTGAGCTACTGGGGAAACTAGGAGCCAGCAGAGCGACAGAGAGAATGCCAAAGAAAAACTGAGAAGAGCTTTTCAAAGGATGTGTCCTCAGAGGATGGAGGACAAAAAGCTGGGCAATTATGCTAAGAGGGCGTTTTAGTGGCCCTTTGTATACTAACTGAGCCCGCTCACAGCCTGTGGGCTGAAGACACTGAAGAGCCAGCAATGGAACAAGACGGAACAACAGCAGCTGACAAGCAGTAAACTGCCAGCTAGCCGCTTCACAAGGAGCCTGGCAAGCTGACTGGCAAGCCAGACACCCTCTCCCCTCAGATGCAGCTGCTCTTCAGGACCTGCCATGACACCAGTGCCAGGCCACTCTATTAATGAGTGTCCCAGTTCTCCCAATTTGCCGGGGAAGCATCCGGTCCTGGGAGAGAGGTTCTTGTGTCAAAACTGGAGTTCACTCTACAGCTTCAGTGACTGAGGGTGAGTGTCACATATTCCACCCTTCTCTCTGAGACTGGGGGGGTCAGAGGATTACTATTTGCCTAGCTGAAACCCAGGTTTCTCTGTTGCTGTTGAGCAGATGGCCATTTCCTTCCCTCAGTTTCCCCTGCTTCTGCCCGTTTCACTTGCCCAAGAAGCATTGGAGTGATGGGGATTTCTGACGCACACAGACTACATATCTTTCCTCAAGAAGTCCCTTCATCCTAAGGTCCTGAGTAGCAATGTCCTCTGCATAGCTCCTTGAGCTCTGATATATTCCCCTCCCTCTCATTTTTAAAAGCAATCTGTGCATACAAGTTGTGTGTGTGTGTGCGTGTGCATGTGTGCATGCACTTGTGAGCACAAATTCATACACATGTACATACAGGTGTGTGTACATGTGGAGTCCAGAGGTTGACATTGGGTGTCTTCCTCAATTGTTCTCACCTTATTTATTGAGCTAGGGTCTCATCATGTAGACCCAGATGGCCTAGCACTCACTAAGTAGACCAGGTTGGCTTCAAACTATAGAAATCCACCTGACTGCCTCCCAAGTATGTGCTGGTTATCCATCCATCTTACATGTGCCCCAAAGGAGTGAGAAGGTCAGAGAACAACTTACGGCCGTCAGTTCTCTCCTTCTATTTCCTGGCTGTGGTGGACTGAACTCAGGTTGTCTGCCCTGGCAGCAGCAAGCACCTTTACCCCTGAGCCATCTCAACAGACCATCCATCTTATTTTTTTTGAGATAGGGTCTCTCACTAAACCTGGAACTCACAAATTTGGTTAGGTTGGTTGGCCAATGAGCTCCCAGGGACACACCCTACCCCTGTCTCACTCTTCTCCAATACTGGGTTTCCAAATGCTTTTGTGTGGTGCTACAGATACTAATGTTCTCATGCTTGCTAGGCAAGCTCTTCACCAACTGGGCCACCTCTTCAACTCCTTTCTCTTTGAGACAGGATTCTGCCATGTAGCTAAGGCTGGCTTCAAATTCTCCATGTAGCTCAGACTGGCCTCAAACTCAAGATCCTTCTTCCTCGGCCTTCTAAGTGTTGGGATTATTGGCATGCACCATCACAGACAGCTAGCCACTGGGTGTTTTCTGAAATCACTCTCTGACTTCCATCAAAGTTTAGCCCTCCCTAGTTCCAGTTTGATGAACAAGTCCATTCTCAGGTAAACACACAGAAAGTAATTGGTAGTGCTTCTTAATCTTTCAACCAATCAAACACAAAATCCCTAACCATCAAACAAAACAAGACTCTGGAAGCAGAGGCCCAAATGCCAAAAGTATAAGCTTTCTTTGAAGTCTCACATTTTGTTTTGAACACATGTGAAATTTGACATTCTGCGCTGGTGTGCTAGAGTTCAATCTACCATGAAAGTACTGCATGTCTCCCAAATCGGTGCATAAATTGAAGCTCCAGGAAGATGCACATTGTGTGCTGGGGGAAGGGGGATCTTGTGGTTCTGCAAAGCTCATAAGAGCTACAGAGACTCTCATGTGACAAGTGCTGAATGAATGTGTCATCCTGGAACCTGCTTGCCTCTCGCCTTGCTGTCTTTGTGGAAGACATTGATAAGCAGAAAGAGTTTGCAGTGTAGGCATGTGTGGCTGTGGCTGAGGAGCCTGGCTTCTTGTCAGGCTTCATTCCCCCTCCCCCAGGACTCTGAGCAGAGCCCGCTCTAGCCCTAGGTCCCAGAGGGTATGGGCAGCTAAATCCTTAGTGTGACACCAGCTTCCCCTTACTCAAATTCACCTGCCCTCCAGCTGTGTGAGCTGGAAATTCTCTTTTGGGTTAAGGCCCAGTCTCCAGAAGGTCCTGGTAAATTGCACATGTTATCTGAAATGGACAGCACATTAAGTCATTAGCGCCCATTAATGCACTTGCCTGAATAAATCTATCAGATTGCCTGTCACCTCTCAGAGGGCAGAACTGTGAGGGAATGAGACACTGACCAGGGATACTTTGTTGGGGTACTATAGGGAGGAGGGGTTCTGGTGCAGTGCTTCCCTGGCGATGGGTCCTAACCCAGCTGCATCAGAATCACCTCAGTAGCTGCAGAAAGAAAGGCTGATTCTTTTTTTTTTTCATCTTTTTCTATTTCTTTTTTTTCTTTTTTTTTTAATTTATTTTAATTTATTTTGCAATACAATTCAGTTCTACATATCGGTCACGGATTCCCTTGTTCTCCCCCCTCCCGTCCCCCTCACCTTCCCCCCAACGGCCCCCCCCCATTCCCATCTCCTCCAGGACAAAGCCTTCCCCACAGACTGAGGTCAACCTGGTAGACTCAGTCCAGGTAGGTCTAGTCCCCTCCTCCCAGGCCAAGCCAAACAATCCTGCATAGGCCCCTGGTGATGGGATGGCCAAACACCCTAATTGTTGTGCTAGAAACCTCATCCAACTACTGAGGGATCTGGATGCAGAGATCCATGACTAGGCCCTGGGTGGATCTCTGGGAGTCCAATCAACGAGAATGAGGAGGGTTTATATGAGCGAGAATTGTTGAGACCAAGGTTGGATAAAGCACAGGGACAAATAGCCAAATGAATGGAAACACATGAACTATGAACCAATGGCTGAGGGGTCCACACTGGATCAGGCCCTCCGAATGGGTGAGACAGTTGATTGGCTTGATCTGTTTGGGAGGCATCCAGGCAGTGGGACTAGATCTTGTGCTCATTGCATGAGTTGGCTGTTTGAAACCTGGGGCCTATGCAGGAAAGGCTGATTCTTAAGCCCCACTAGTAGAGCTCTGGACTCTAATTTGTGCTCCTGCATCTGGGGAGCACCTGCTTCAGAGCATAGCCAAGGCGGGCCTGAGGAGAGAAAGGCTGTGATAGAGGGCACAGGGCCAGGGCCAGGAGGAGAATACAGTGGATACTAGTTTGAAATGTCCTTTTTTCTCCTTCTTTCTCTTCCTCCTCCTCCTCCTCCTCCTCCTCCTCCTCCTCCTCCTCCTCCTCCTCCTCCTCCATATCTTCCTCCTCTTTTCTTTTTGTCTTTCTTTGCTCCTTCCTCCTCATCTCCCTCGCTCAGGCAGAGGGAGCCTCACAGAGAGCCAGTGGACCTTCGAGTGGAAGCTAAATTGACAGAATCTGGGGAATTGCCCATCCTTCCCTGTATGCCTTCCCTCTCTCCCCCCTGCTGGCATCGTAGGCATGTTTGCCCTCCTGGAGTTAGGAAGCAAAATACCAATTTAAATGGATGCTGACAGAGCCTGTCAGATGCCAAGTGCTTGCTGCAATTGCTACTGGTCCAGCTCTTCCCCAGGAGAAGAGAGTTCAGAAATGCTTGGTGCCAATGCTGCCAGGAGCTAGGTCCCTCCCTCCTCCCACCCTCCTTGGGGGAATGTGGAGGGAGACACTGGGTGCATGCGAACGGTATGCAGGCTGGGGAGCAGAGGTCTGGGTGTCTCCCATGGGCTTTCCATCCTGGATAGTCACAGATACTTTATTGAACCTCTCTGTACCTTTGTTTCCACAGCGTGTGTGTGTGTGTGGAGGGGGACAGGAAGGAAAATATAATGTCTACCTGATGCTTTTCACAGAGGTACAGAGACACCTGTTCTTCTTCTTCTTCTTTTTTTTTTTTAAAGAAAAACACCATAGAGAGTCAAGCAGTCTTCAAAAGATCATAAACAAGAGTGTTAAAATGTACCTTCCTTCAAAGCCCAGGAGATCCCTACGGATCTAATAAATGAATTCTTGCTAGTGTGCTGGCCAGTGTTAGTGGGTCAGTGTGTTAACCTTCCAACAGATGCAGTTTGTCCAAAACTAATCTTTCCAGATCTTTCTTCAAAGA